ATGTTGGTTTTACAGTACCGAAACCGTCAATCATGATGCACCAAGTGGAGCTAAAACTGGCCTGCTACATTGCCTGCCACTCAGCGGTTAGTTCCGTGAATCACCTCGGGGAACTTCTTGGATCAGCTTTCAAGAGAGCTGTTAGTCTGCATCACACAAAATGCACAGCGTTAATAAACAATCTTAGTGCTCCCTGCATGTTCTCTGACCTCATCAAAGACAGTTGTGAGTCTCAGTATTCACTGGTTATAGATGAGAGCACAGATGTTGCTGCAGTAAAGGAGCATTGCGCTACTTCAGCTCCTCCTTAAAGAAAATTGAGTCTACATTTTTGGGACTAGTCATTTTGGAAAGTGAAACAGCAGAAGCAATTGCTACAGCACTGATTCAGTTTCTTGACAGTGTTGGTCTGGATTTCAGCAAGTGTATTGAGATTGGGACTGATGGCTGTAACATCATGGTTGGGAAGGAAAATTCCATCTACATACATCTCCTCCAAAGGAATGAGAATCTTAGGCTGATCAAATGTGTATGTCACACAAACCAGGTGTGTGCCAGTAAAGCTGTAGAAACACTGTCATGCAATCTAGAGCTTTTAGCCTCCCATTCCTAAAGCTGTTTTTTTCACAGGCCTCTGAGACAGCGTGAATATGCAAAGATAAATCACAGTAACATGCCACTGAAGCTCGTTCAGCTATCAGCCACTAGATGGCTCTCCATTTATGATTGTCATGTGCACATACTAGATCAGCGTTTTTCAACATTCAGGTTACGACTCAATACTCGGTCACTGCATGTAAGGCACTGGGTCGCTCTGGTCAACACCGCTGACTGGGACGTTAAAAGTCCCGTTGTCGGTGCTGCCCAGCTAAGGCAGGCTAGTGCCTACCTGCTCCGATACTGTGCTGTGCCCCGTAAGCGGCCAGCAGCAGATCCAGCTTCTAGGCAGGCGGGCAACGAGGCTCCATGCACTGCTCCTGCCCTGAGCACCGGCTCTGCACTCTGAGGGTGGTGCCTGCGGGTAAGAGCTGTGCAGAGGTGCTTGCTTGCCTCCGCCTAGGAGCCGGACCTGGTGCTGGCAATTCTGGGGCACATCATGGTCTGTGGTGCCAGGACAGGTGGGAAGCCTGCCTCTGCACCCCAGCTGTGCCACTGACCAGGAGCCATGAGAGGTAAGTTCGCACCCCAACCCTGCAACCCAATCTCCTGCCCTAGCCCTGAGCCCCTCCCAAACCCAGAACCCCTTCCTGCACCCCACATCTCTCAGCCCCACCCCCACACCAGAGCCTGCATCCCCAGCCCAGAGCCCTGACCCCCTCTCACACCCCAACCCTCTGCCCCAGCCCCGAGTCCCCCACCCCCAACCTGAAGTCCTTCCTGCATCCCACACCCCTCATCCCCGGCCCCAGCCCAGAGCCCTGACCCCCTCCTGCACCCCAACCCCTTGCCCCAGCCCAGAGTCCCCTCCTACATCCTGAAACCCTCATTCCTGGCCCCGCCCCACAGCCCTTACCGCCGCATCCCAACCCTCTGCCCCAGCCCTGAGCCCCTCCCACACCTCAAACCCCGCATCCCCAGCTTTGTTGGGTCATGGGCATCAACAATTTTCTTCAGCTGGGTCCCCAGAAAAAAAGTTTGAAAACCACTGTACTAGATCATTGGGACAAGTTAAAGTTGCATTTTCAAGTGAACAAAGATGAACAACAATGCTATGATGCAGAAGTTCTGTATCAGATGTATTGTGACCCTGCTAATAAACTGTATTAACAGTTTCTAACACCAGTTCTGCAGAAATTTGCCAGAATCAATAAACTGTTCCAACTCGAATCTGGTGGTAATGCCTTCAAAATGCTGGACTGCCTCCAGTCTTTCTTTCGTACTCTTACATCAAGAGTGTCACTTTCAGAAAGGATCACTTTTGCTGATGGTAAACTCCTTGAAGTCAATTTGTGTGACCCATGGAGCCACTTGCCACTGTGTGCTGTTAATTTTGGCATACTGTTTACTGTTGCTTTAAGAGATGCAAAGCTTGACAATGCTGTTGAAGCTAATCTAAAGAATAGATGCTGAGACTTCCTTCTTGAAGCTGCTAAACAAGTGCAGTCAAGATTTTCAGCAAATATTAATCTGTGGAAATCTAGGTCAGTGTTCAGTCCGTCAGCTGTTCTCGCTCAGCTAATGACCATCTCCATGCTGAAAATTTTCAAAGGTTACTTGGGGGCCTTGGATGCACAGTATCAAGCCATCAACTTCCGGTAATGGAAGAGCATGGATGACAAAAATGCAGAGCAGTTCTGGGTGGAAGTATACAAATTTCAAGACAGTAGCGGTGAACGGTTCTTTAAAGAACTAGCCCACTTTCCCTACTCGCCATGCCTCTGAGTAATGCTGATGTGGAACAAGTGTTCTCTCAGATGAACAATGTGAAGTCCAAGCACTGGAAAAGGGTGGATCACCAGACTCTGAGCAGTTTACTGCATGTTTGCTATGGGTTAAGAAGACTGGGAATTTGTTGTAAGGATTTTGTCCTGCACAGAGAGAAGCTTCATTAGGGGAAAAAGAAAAGGAGTACTTGTGGCACCTTAGAGACTAACAAATTTATTTGAGTGTAAGCTTTCGTGAGCTACAGCTCACTTCCATCTGATGAAGTGAGCTGTAGCTCACAAAAGCTTATGCTCAAATAAATTTGTTAGTCTCTAAGGTGCCACAAGTACTTCTTTTCTTTTTGCGAATACAGACTAACATGGCTGCTACTCTGAAACCTTTCAGTAGGGGAATGTACCACACTGAGGCTACCGAGACCACGGAGAATGGGGAGAGCAAGGATGACCTTTTTTGTTCTAGTTCTAGTTTTTGCTGCACACAACATTTAGCTACATATTAAAAATATGAAAATAATACATTTGTGCGTACTTACATTATTACTAAAAAAATGGAATTTGTATCAACACCCCCACTCCACTCCCTGTGGAAAGGGCTGGGCTTGTTTTTGGCTTGCTTGAAAGGGGTTGGGCTTGTTCTGGGCTAATTTTGAAAGGCACTGCCATTTTTTATTCTCGTGAGACTTGGCAACATTTCCTTTGAGTGCACCCATTGACATGTTGGCTTCAATGCACAATTCCCCCTTAATGCTGAGAGAAGCTGCCCGCGCCCAGGGGACATGGGGCCCCCAGGAGGCAGGGTCTGGGGCAGAGGACTGCAGTGCAACCAGTTGATCGTTGGGACCCAGGAGCAACTGGGATGTGGCTCTGGGAGCGATGGCTGGGGTCACTCAGTCCCAGCAGCAGGAAGTCAATCTCATTCCCTACAGTGTCTGTGGGATGCTGTGGGGATGCCATATTTCTTGCAAGATGCCCGAGTCCCGGGGGCTGCTGCTGGGGATCCTGAAGCCCTGGCTGCTGCCAGGAGTGGTGAGCAGTAACATTCCCGCTGCTTCAGTGCAGAGACCCCAGCCTGGCCAAGATGCCCCTTCCTGGGCCCCAGCCCCTGCTCCTTCGGAGGCCACTACTTGGACAAAAGGCAAGAGAGACCTTTCCATTCCCTCACCCCCGAGCGGTGCCCCCCTGGCTGCAGGGGGAGGGTTTGGCTGGCTTGGCCGGCTGCTCCCAGCTGAGCTGGTGGCAATTCCCTGCCCTGTGCCCAGGAAAGCTGCCGCCAGCTCCCATTCTTTGCAGGGCGTGTGAAGCCAGCCTGCACGAGCCATCCCACACACTAATCAACCCATGCACCCTCCACCACCAGTACACCATTTCACCTTTCCCCACTCATACACAAATACACCCTTCCCCCCTCCCCAACCTATCCACCTTCTCCACACATTGACCCATCCAACCGCCCCACACATTCACATATTTACCCAGCCCCACACATACACCCATAGACCTCACCTACCTATCCACCTTCCCTCACTCATCCACCCATCCGCCAATCCAACTTCCCCACCCATCCACCCTCCCCCACACATCCATCCATCCATCCACCCATGCATCCTTCCACACCCATCCACTCCTCCACCAATTTACCCTCCCCAAGTCATACTACCATACACCCTCCCTCACCCACCCCACCCATACAGCCATGGAGCCTCCTCCACCCATTACATTCATCCACCATCGCCATACATCCACCCATCCACCTATCCCCCACCATTCACCCTCCTCAATACACATACACTTTGCCCCAACCATCATCACCCACCCTCCCCCACATCCCAATACACATTCCTCACCAATCCTCCCAGCCCTATACACTCTTCCCCATGAATACACCTGCCCACACCCATACACCACCCCATACACCCTCCCTCATTATCCCATCAATCCCCATCAACACTCTTCACTCATCCTCCCATTCCCAATACACCCTTCCCCACCCAGCCACCCTGCTCCTTACACCATCCCTGATGTATGTACCTTCCCCTTCCACCCATCAATCCCCATACACCCTATCAAACCCATCCACTCTTCCACCTAGCCACCCTCTCCCACCATCCACCATATACCCATCGACCCAAAGATCCTCATCCACCCATGCACCAATATTCTCTCCCACAACCATACACCCTCCCCTACCCATACACACTCCCTCACCTATCCACATCTCCTCCCACCCACCCATCCACACCCATCCACTCATACACCAATAAAGCCATCAAAATATACACCCTCCCCCACCCATCTACCAACCCACCAATCCATGCTCCCCCACCCATTGACCTATCCACCAACTCCCAACGCAACCATCCATCCACCCTTCCCCACCCGTCCACTTAGTCACCTATGCATACTCCCCGCCCTTTCACCAAGCCACCCTCACCCAGCCATCCACACATCCACCAGCACCAATATGTACCCACCCATGCATGCTCTGCTACCCATCTACCCACCTTCCCCAGGCATACACCCATAACCCCTCCCCAACCCATCCGCTCATCCGCATCCATCCACCCTCCCCACTGATCCCCCAAACCACCCTTCCCCATCAATCCATCCAACCACTCATCCGCAATCCCCGACCCTTACCCTCATACTCAGATTTTCCAGCAACTTTGTCATCCTAAACTATCAGTAGTGCTTGGTTGAAGTAAAGAATTTTGAAGAGAGATCACCCCTGAATAGTCAGGAGAGATTCCTAACTGATTTGCAATGTAGGTTCGCTGAGGACTTTTTGGCCCTCAATGGTTGCTTAGTTGCAATGAAGAACTTTCATGAACCAATATCCACTGAAATATCAGGAGAGCATCTTAATGCTTTGCAATAAAGATTGAGAGCATTTCAAATGGGTGATCACCAGCGAAAGATTGCTTGGTTGCAATGAAGAGCTTTCACGACAGACATCATCTGAATTGTCAGGAGAGATTCCTAATTGCTTTACAATGAGTTCTCTTAGAACTTTGCTGCCCTGAAGGATCAGCAGGGATTTCTTTTTTGTTTTTAATGAAGAATTTTCACGAATCTATCATGTCTGTATTGTCAGGAGAGATGGCTAAATAATTTCCAATGATGAATATCTGAGAAATTTGTCCCCCTGACAATCAGGAGTGACTTGTGGCTTGGTTATAATGAAGCATTTTCATGAACTGGTGGTGAAGGGATAAATGGAAATATGGCTGGATGGGTGGATGAGGGTGAATGGGTAAAAGTGGAGAAGGTGTATTGGTGGATGAGGGAAGCGGCCTTCATGTAACCCATGTATCAACATGGGTTGAAGTGAGCTGTAGCCCACGAAAGCTTATGCTCAAATAAATTTGTTAGTCTCTAAGGTGCCACAAGTCCTCCTTTTTTTATAACTCAGAAAGGGTATTGTGACATCAGTCAACAGAAAATGAGACTATTGGTTCTTGTCTCATCTCTTGCTGTAAAAGGCTGTTCCGTAGCTGAGCAATAGCATCAAAACTTTCAAAAGTAGCTTTTAATTTTGAGCGTCTGCATTTCTGGGTTCCCCTGTAAGATGTCTTGAGCCTTGTTTTCAGAAATGTGCAGCTGCATCCATCATTCCCATTGGAACTATGGATGTTTCATATTTTTGAAAAGCATGTCCAAGGTGGGTGTCTCAGATGAGGTTCAGAATTAGAAAATGTATCCTTCAGCTTCCCAACCCTTTCACCCTGTTCCTATTTGTCTCTCTTAAAAATGCTATGATCAAATGTATTCCATAATAGTGATGCTTTTATTAAGCTCCTTACGTTTGCATCCTAGGATGGGGAAATACACAGTATGTTGCAGGGAATAAATATATTTATTGCTGAAAATGTAGGAATATATTTCATATAACATCATAACAAAAGAGTGATAATTCATTTTATAAAAACTATACATAAAGTTATTTAAGTGTAAAAATACCAGTTCATGATACTGTTTATCATAACACGTATGGCCCAATTCTGCCTGGAGTCAATGAGATTACAGAGGCTGTAAATTAATGTAGGATTTGGCCCACTGCATTAATGAAGACACAATGATTATTCACAGAATAATCAAGATAAAACCTCCCCAGCTCTGGATAAAGCTGGCAGGACATACACTGACTTAACTGAAAACCAGAGTGGCAGCCGAGTTTGTTGCTGAAAGATCTATCAGAGCACCTTTTTTGGGGTGCTTTCATTTTTGGATGCTCAATCTGAGACAGTTTGGGCCCAATTTTCAGAGGTACTGAGCTTCCCATAGCTTCATATGAGTTCCTTTGGAGTTGTAGGTGCTCAGCACCTTTGAAGGTGTCTCAAGATGCTCCTCTCCTCGCACCCCCCCAAATTAGAGAACATTCTTGGTATTTTTGGCCTGTATGTCCAAAGAGGTTCTGATAAATAACAGCTGTTTCATCTCAGGTCATTGTCTGTCATGAGAACAAAATTCTTTATAAAATATTCTCAAGTGTTTGTATTAGAAATGGGCCAAAACCAGCCAAAAATGTGGAGTAAGTTTGGATCCAGATCTGAATTTTGTTACAGGGTTCTAAAGCTGCCTGGATTTAACATCCTCTTCCTCCCCAAGTCTGGATCCTGCTCTGACTTTTGCAGTTTGGGTCCAGCTCTAGCTTGGCTAGCCTACTTTATTTACACTTTTGGCTCTGCACTTGGGCAGCAATACTGGCGGTATCCTGAGAGATCCTGTCCTCCAGAGAGTTCTAACCCGGTTCTGTAGAACCAATAGGTTCCTGATAGCCCAGATGAGCAGAGGAAATTCACTTAAGGTTTTGGAGAGTTATTCAAACTCTGAATCTTTTGAAGTTTGCCTGTTAGTTTCTGAGAGTGTCCTAGGGTTCCGGATATATGTGAAGTTAAGGCTTTAGTCAGCAGTAACTTGAGTCTGTGGACTTTGTTAGCTAAACAGCTCAGCTGTCTCATTCCAATTTAACAGACAGAATTCCCTTCCCCCAATAGGCAAAGGCTAGTTTTCACTCCATGTGGGTGAGTCCTTGGATTCTGAGCTTGTAGCAAAAAAAAAAAAAGAAGAAGAAGAAGAAGTGGGCTTATGGCACATGCACAGAGATGCTGCTGTAGTCATGGCTTCAGTGGGACCTTTTTAACCATGGTCTGTGTCCTCTGAATCTGTTAAAGATGGGCAATGGATGAGTGGCAACAGTGCAGCCTCCAAACAGCTGGGCATAGCTTTAAAGCTATCTAGTAGATAACAGAGGGCAGGCCTATAGACCTGAGCTGGAAAAAGAACTACCCTGGCTTGTAATAGAGACTTAAAACTTTCCTTTCCATCCCCAATCTCCCTATTATTTTAACTTTCCCAGCAGAGGGAGCCCCAATCCAGCACTTGATCCACAGCCATAGGTTTAAGTTCATCTGGCTTTTTTTCCTCTTAAATCCTATGGCACATGGTGACGGACAGGCAGCCAAACAGCAGAACAGGAGCCTTCACCCAACGTTGCCATAAACTTTAAAAACAGGAGCCTGCGTTTTGCTCCTAATAAAGTGGCCTGGCTTCCAAAGTCCTGAGTGCCCGGTGAAACCAAGGACCTGGGTGGGCAGCTCACTCAGCACTTTTAAAAATCAGGCCACTTATTAGGTGCTGAACAGCTGAAGGCCCCAGTATCCTGCAATAATCTCTGCATGGCTATAACCCTCTGTCTGCATGGGGACCCACTGAGGTCAGTGAAGCTACAGATGGGCAAAGGGGGACAACCACACAAGGCTGGGACCTAACCATGCACTTACAAATCCAGCTTTAGAAAATCTTGGCAGGTGGCTTTGATTGGCAGGGGGGAGGGATAGCTCAGTGGTTTGAGCATTGGCCTGCTAAACCCAGGGTTGTGAGTTCCCTCCTTGAGGGGGCTATTTAGGGATCTGAGCCAAAAATTGGGGATTGGTCCTGCTTTGAGCAGGGGGTTGGACTAGATGACCTCCTGAGGTCCCTTCAAACCCTGATATTCCATGACTTGGCCATTGCATGGGAGCTCAGTAAAACTCCCCAGCCAGGCACTGGTGGGTGGAGACATCTTCAAAATGTGCAGACTTGTTTGTAATACCCACAAGTGGAGATATCAAAAATCCCTTGAGTCTTGCACTGCTGCCCACACCCAGCAATGTCTACTACATGTAGTCTTCCAGTCTTTGTTTTTCATTAAGGCACTGGTGTTCCATTAGGGTCTAGCCTATTTCTGCTGAATAAAGCCCGGGAGATCAATAATACTTCATAAGCAGGAGGGCTTAAGGTAGCTTGTTTATGAAATTGTATCAAACCTGCTTGGTTATTATTGCTGAGATGGTAACTATATTCCTGGTATATAGCAGTATTTTAAGTTCACTTTTACATTCATGTCAAAAGTAAACTCTAGTACAGGTGAGCACCCCACCCTTCAGCAAATCTTTCTTTTACCTCTCCTCCCTCCCCACTGCCTTGATGTTGATCCTGCTGTAGAGCGTAGTATGCACAATGTAGCCTCATGGTTTTCAATTTCATGACCAGGAGCGCCCCAGCTTATTTATCTCTGAAACAAGAACGTAGGCTGTGGAATGAGGGAGGCACTCTTCTCCCTTACACAGTCAATTGCTTTTCCATCACAGACCTACCTAGAGGATGGGCTGAATCTGTTTCTATTCAGATTTGATTATGGGATGCTCTCAAGTGCTGAGGGATGGGGTGGATTCTCCATCACTTGGAATCTTTCAAGCAAGACTGGATGTCACTCTAAAATATATGCTCTAGATCAATGGCAAGTTAGTGCATTTAATGCAAGGATTGCTGGGTGAGTATCTCAGGCCTGAGTTGTACAGGAGGGCAGACAATATGATCAGAATGTACATAGAATCATAGAAGATTAGGGTTGGAAGAGACCTCAGGAGGTCATCTACTCCAACCCCCTGCTCAAAGCAGGACCAACCCCAACTAAATCATCCCAGCAAGGGCTTTGTCAAGCCGGGCCTTAAAAACCTCTAAGGATGGAGATTCCACCACCTTCCCAGGTAACCCGTTCCAGTGCTTCACTACCCTCCTAGTGAAATACTGTTTCCTAATATCCAACCTAGACCTCCCCCACTGCAACTTGAGACCATTGCTCCTTGTTCTGTCATCTGCCACCACTGAGAACAGCCAAGCTCCATCTTCTTTGGAACTCCCCTTCAGGTAGTTGAAGGCTGCTCTCAAATTCCCCCTCACTCTTCTCTTCTGCAGACTAAATAAGTAAAGTTCCCTCAGCCTCTCCTCATAAGTCATGTGTCCCAGCACCCTAATTATTTTTGTTGCCCTCTGCTGGACTCTCTCCAATTTGTCCACATTCTTTCGGTAGTGGGGGGCCCAAAATTGGACAAAATACTCCAGATTTGGCCTCATCAGTACCAAATAGAGGGGAATAATCACTTCCCTTAATCTCCTGGCAAAGCTCCTACTAATGCAGCCCAGTATGCCATTACCCTTCTTGGCAACAAGGGCACACTGTTGACTCATATCCAGCTTCTCGTCCACTGTAATTCCCAGGTCCTGTTCTTCAGAACTGCCGCTTAGCCAGTTGGTCCCCAGCCTGTAGCAGTGCATGGGATTCTTCTGTCCTAAGTGCAGGACTCTGCACTTGTCCTTGTTGAACCTCATCAGATTTCTTTTAGCCCAGTCCTCCAATTTGTCTAGGTCGCTCTGGACCCTATCCCTATCCTCCAGCAAATCTACCACTCCTCACAGCTTAGTGTCATCTGCAAACTTGCTGAAGTGCAATCCATCCCATCATCCAGATCATTAATGAAGATGTTGAACAAAACCATCCCTAGGACCGATTCCTGGGGCACTCCTCTTGATACCGGCTGCCAACTAGACATTGAGGCATTGATCACTACCTGTTGTTTCTTTCTGGCCTTAAAAATCTAGGTAGTTTTACCCCAAATTAGTCTTCATTTTAAAACAAATATACATGGGCCAGATCCTCAGCTCTTGTAAATGACAGTAGTTCTGTGGGCTTAGTTACTGGGGCTACTTACAGCAATCAGACCTTACCCAAGTCTTTGCCCATGGAAACATAGCTTGGTAATGGGATGCAAAATCATTTCTCTGCTGGAGGAAGGAAAAACCTCCTCCCTGATAAGTCTTTTACCTTGGTCCATTGGATTCAGATGCTCAGAAAGACCAGATTTTTTCATTCTTTGTGCTTTGTCCCAGAACAATCATGGAGTTCCTCTCCGTCTTCTTCTGATCCGAAGTCATAACATCTGGCCTAAACCAATGGGAAAATGCTATCAATGTTTATAGGACTCAGAACACAGGTTGTGTTTTTGCACATATTTCACTGGGCCTGCATGCACACATCTGAGCTGCATCCAGATCTGTTATTTTCTCCAGCTCCAGCCTAAATTTCCAAAATACATGCCATCAAAATATTTGTGGCAGCATCCAAAAATGGAGGCTATAAAACATTTTTGCTTGGCAGTGAGTCCCAGCATAACAAACAGGCTGGCACACATACTATCTGCAGGAAAATATGCAGTATGTCCCCACATGGGGGGTGGGGAATGACAGACAGAAAATATCAAATCAACCCTATTACTGGGAAGTTTCACCTTTAAAAATCCAGTTCTTTTGGTGGGCAGAAAAATGCTGTTTGGATGAGTCTTGGCTTCAGATTTTTTGATGTGTGTACAGCCAGATTGAAGGGCCCATTGAAGTCATCATAAAGATTCCCTTTGATTTTGATGGGCTTTGGATCAGGCACAGTGGGCTGGTGAAAGATCGAAGCTGAGCCAGCTGAAATTTTTTTGAACTTTTTTTAAAGCCTTTTTGGAAATTGAAAATGTTCATGAAATTTTTTGACATAAATATGACTTTTTAACTCAAAATAATTATCAAAGTGGTTATAGACATTTTTTGTTACCCAAAGCCACCATTTTGGTACAATTTTGCTTTAAAATGATGAACAGTTATGTAAAATGAATCATAGAATCATAGAATATCAGGGTTGGAAGGGACCCCAGAAGGTCATCTAGTCCAACCCCCTGCTCGAAGCAGGACCAATTCCCAGTTAAATCATCCCAGCCAGGGCTTTGTCAAGCCTGACCTTAAAAACCTCTAAGGAAGGAGATTCTACCACCTCCCTAGGTAACGCATTCCAGTGTTTCACCACCCTCTTAGTGAAAAAGTTTTTCCTAATATCCAATCTAAACCTCCCCCTCTGCAACTTGAGACCATTACTCCTCGTTCTGTCATCTGCTACCATTGAGAACAGTCTAGAGCCATCCTCTTTGGAACCCCCTTTCAGGTAGTTGAAAGCAGCTATCAAATCCCCCCTCATTCTTCTCTTCTGCAGGCTAAACAATCCCAGCTCCCTCAGCCTCTCCTCATAAGTCATGTGTTCCAGACCCCTAATCATTTTTGTTGCCCTTCGCTGGACTCTCTCCAATTTATCCACATCCTTCTTGTAGTGTGGGGCCCAAAACTGGACACAGTACTCCAGATGAGGCCTCACCAATGTCGAATAGAGGGGAACGATCACGTCCCTCGAGCTGCTCGCTATGCCCCTACTTGTACATCCCAAAATGCCATTGGCCTTCTTGGCAACAAGGGCACACTGCTGACTCATATCCAGCTTCTCGTCCACTGTCACCCCTAGGTCCTTTTCCGCAGAACTGCTGCCTAGCCATTCAGTCCCTAGTCTGTAGCTGTGCATTGGGTTCTTCCGTCCTAAGTGCAGGACCCTGCACTTATCCTTATTGAACCTCATCAGATTTCTTTTGGCCCAATCCTCCAATTTGTCTAGGTCCTTCTGTATCCTATCCCTCCCCTCCAGCGTATCTACCACTCCTCCCAGTTTAGTATCATCCGCAAGTTTGCTGAGAGTGCAATCCACACCTCCAGATCATTTATGAAGATATTGAACAAAACCGGCCCCGGGACCGACCCTTGGGGCACTCCACTTGATACCGGCTGCTAACTAGACATGGAGCCATTGATCACTACCCGTTGAGCCCGACAATCTAGCCAGCTTTCTACCCACCTTATAGTGCATTCATCCAGCCCATACTTCCTTAACTTGCTGACAAGAATACTGTGGGAGACCGTGTCAAAAGCTTTGCTAAAGTCAAGAAACAATACATCCACTGCTTTCCCTTCATCCACAGAACCAGTAATCTCATCATAGAAGGCGATTAGATTAGTCAGGCATGACCTTCCCTTGGTGAATCCATGCTGGCTGTTCCTGATCACTTTCCTCTCATGCAAGTGCTTCAGGATTGATTCTTTGAGGACCTGCTCCATGATTTTTCCACGGACTGAGGTGAGGCTGACCGGCCTGTAGTTCCCAGGATCCTCCTTCTTCCCTTTTTTAAAGATTGGCACTACATTAGCCTTTTTCCAGTCATCCGGGACTTCCCCCGTTCGCCACGAGTTTTCAAAGATAATGGCCAATGGCTCTGCAATCACAGCCGCCAATTCCTTCAGCACTCTCGGATGCAACTCGTCCGGCCCCATGGACTTGTGCACGTCCAGCTTTTCTAAATAGTCCCTAACCACCTCTATCTCCACAGAGGGCTGGCCATCTCTTCCCCATTTTGTGATGCCCAGTGCAGCAGTCTGGGAGCTGACCTTGTTAGTGAAAACAGTCACTCAATCAGTTTCAAACTCTTCAAAATGAAAGCAATGGAATCTCTTCCCAAATGTGGGTATTTTTAATGTAGTAACCAATTGCTGCTCTGGGGCATGGAGTGCTCTCAGGATATGCCTGTAGTGCAGTCACGGGGTGTGCTCATGCAGACATCCCTGAGCTACTTTTAATCCTGCTATCTTGGGTCCTAGAGCAGAGAAGCTGTGGCAGCTTAAGCTGTATAAACCCACCCAACCCCCTGAAGTCACACAGCTAACCCATGCTGAAGTGCCTGCAGCCGCAGCTTCGCTGCTCCAATACTAAAGCTAGCTGAGGTATGTCTGCCTGAGCTCCAGTCATACTCTGTGACAGCAGCATAGACATACCCTCCCAGAACAGTACCACATGAGCAGCGCATAGATCCTGCTCTGCAGGCAAAAAGGTTCTGGCTCCAGGACTCTTTCTATCCTTGGGCTTTGTGTCAACACAGGCCCCAGTTAGAAGAATTGCTTTTGTGATGTGGTCACCCATTTATTAGGAACTGAACTGATACCAGGCCCCACAACAAATCTTATTGGCCACAGAACAGCTATCAAGTAGTAGCAACTTTCAGTTGCTATCAACCTGCGCTGAATTCAGACTGACATCCTAGCAATGAAAGAAGGCCTAACAACCCCCTGGACAGCTTACTCCTACCCAACTCCATTAATGCTACCTTTCTATACGTACATAGACAGAAAAATCAATAGTGAGTGGGGTCCCGTCCCTCCCCAAAACGTCACAGCTCAGATCCAGCTCTAGACAGGATTAGTGAGGAGTGCACCTCTAAAGGCTTGTGGGCTTGCTTCAGAAAAACTTGGATGCCCCTGAAAATAGCTAGGAGGATTCCATTGCTTTCAATTTTCATGGCTGCTTCTGGGCTCTAGCCCTGAGAGAAGCTGCTCTTGCTGTATTTGTAGCTCTCCCAGAAGCAGGAAGTATTTGGCAATGCTGTGAGAGCCTATTCTGCCACTCTGCCTATCCTCAGTAGGCTAAGAAAGATCAGGATAGAAAGCAGTCGTGCTATGGAACCATACTTGCCCCTGGAGTGGGGGAAGAGGTTAGGGTGACCAGATGTCCTGATTTTGTCAGAACAATCCAGATATTCGGGGCTTTGTCTTATATAGGTGCCTATTACCTCCCACCCCCTGTCCCCATATTTCACACTTGCTGTCTGGTCACCCTAGAAGAGGTGACTATTCAGATCAAATCATAGACTACTCCTACGGGCTTTATGGTATTATATGGTGCTCAGATACCTTGGTGATGGGTGCAGTAAAAATACCAAGGCAGATTTCCAGTCCAGCTTTCCACGCCTAAGATTGGATTCTCCCCAAAATGTTGGAAGAAGCACCAATGTTTAGCTATTTGTCTGGAGCAAATATTTGATTGTGTGAAGTTCACACATTACTTTAGAACATCTTAAATCCAATAAACCAGCCAAAGAGAAAGGGATGAGGAAGGATCTCTCCTCTCAGGGGGCACCTGGGCTCGAATAAGTTGCTCTCCTTGACTGGATGGACCACTAAGTTATCCCTTCATTCCTTTGCTGAGGACCAGACCCAGGTCTGTGCACCACTTGAGTTCCCTAGTGACGGATAAGTTATGTGCACAGGGGGGAATTTCGCCCTATGTGAGTAAAGAATCAATATGAGAACTGCAAATTCAAAAATTAGTCTGTTTTGGACATTTTGAGGCACACCACATTGCTCGTGGCCATGGGAGCCCATCTCTTGCTATATTAAGCAAAGGGTTCCTTTTCTAATAGGAGAATTGACACGGTCTCCCACAGTATTCTTGTCAGCAAGTTAAGGAAGTATGGGCTGGATGAATGCACCATAAGGTGGGTAGAAAGTTGGCTAGATTGTCGGGCTCAACGGGTAGTGATCAATGGCTCCATGTCTAGTTGGCAGCCGGTATCAAGTGGAGGAGTGGTAGATACGCTGGAAGGCAGGGATAGGATACAGAGGGACCTAGACAAATTGGAGGATTGGGCCAAAAGAAATCTGATGAGGTTCAGTAAGGATAAGTGCAGGGTCCTGCACTTAGGACGGAAGAACCCAATGCACAGCTACAGACTAGGGACCGAATGGCTAGGCAGCAGTTCTGCGGAAAAGGACCTAGGGGTGACAGTGGACGAGAAGCTGGATATGAGCCAGCAGTGTGCCCTTGTTGCCAAAAAGGCCAATGGCATTTTGGGATGTATCAGTAGGGGCATAGCGAGCAGATCGAGGGACGTGATCGTCCCCCTCTATTCGACATTGGTGAGGCCTCATCTGGAGTACTGTGTCCAGTTTTGGGCCCCACACTACAAGAAGGATGTGGATAAATTGGAGAGAGTCCAGCGAAGGGCAACAAAAATGATTAGGGGTCTGGAACACATGACTTATGAGGAGAGGCTGAGGGAACTGGGATTGTTTAGTCTGCAGAAGAGAAGAATGAGGGGGGATTTGATAGCTGCTTTCAACTACCTGAGAGGTAGTTCCAGAGAGGATGGTTCTAGACTATTCTCAGTGGTGGAAGAGGACAAGACAAGGAGTAATGGTCTCAAGTGGCAGTGGGGGAGGTTCAGGTTGGATATTAGGAAAAACTTTTTCACTAGGAGGGTGGTGAAACACTGGAATGCGTTGCCTAGGGAGGTGGTGGAATCTCCTTCCTTAGAAGTTTTTAAGGTCAGGCTTGACAAAGCCCTGGCTGGGATGATTTAATTGGGTATGGGTCCTGCTTTTGAGCAGGGGGTTGGACTAGATGACCTCCTGAGGTCCCTTCCAACCCTGATATTCTATGATTCTATGATTCTATGAATTCTTCTGTGGATGTGAAAACACCTCAGAGCAGATCATACATCATAACCAGAATGGGCCCATGAAAGTGGATTTGCTTTGACCGAGGTGGAAAAACAAAAACAAAGTGACTTTCCCTATTTGCCTGAATAACTCAAGTGTGACTATGTGTAAAAAGCTACCAGTCTTCACTTCCCTGGGAGCTATCTGTTAGTAGAGGAAATTAAGGTCTAGCTCACTTCAGTTCAATATCACAGGGGACCTGACCCTATTTCAGATGCTGGGGAAGTTATGATAAGTGAAGATTAGATCATCACAGTTTCACATATTTACAAATGGAATAACGGTCTAATGCTCCATTTCCCATAGCTGTGGTCCCAGTGGAGACTGGGTTGAGGGCCAAACCCCAGGCATTTGTAAAAGAGCCATTGCCCCCAGATTTTAAAAATATAAAAAGACTTGTGTTGTTCGTAAATGCTGGTCAGGCATAACCCCTGCACTTCCACCAGCAGGGGGTGCTCTACCTTTGCTGCTGAATCTAGCCAAGCCATCTCTTCTTGCTGTGCCATGTCACCACCTCCATCAGTGGCTGCAGGGAGTGCATCCCCAAAGAGCACAGGAGAGTTGTGTGAGTACAGTGAGGGGAGGTGGGGGTGAAGGTCTGAGAGTGGAGAGGGAGCTGGAAATGGGAAGGAAAGGGGTCGACAGTGGGCTTGGAGTGGGGAGAGGGATTTAATGGAAGGAAAGTCAAAAAGGGTTACAAGGTTTGGGAACAGGAGTGGAAAATCAACATATTTCTGGTGCTTCCCTGTTCCATCCAGATGAGACGTACTGTCTGTTCTTGGGGGATCCCAGCATTTCCATTGTGTCCCAGCTGGGACCAGTAAATATAGCAGTGATAAAACAATTGTATAAAGAGCTATGGGACCTAGTCCTCAGCTGGTCCCCTTGCCTTCAATGGAGCTATGCTGATGTACACCAGCATAATTCTTATTTATGGAGCACTGGTGATATTCTCAGCACTACACAGAGCAGGGCAAAGACCAGGTAGGATTTTACAGTCAGAAAGAGACAGATGTAGCCAGAAGTCTTTTGAACCCTAAATGCAGTTTGGGTCCAATTCAAGCTTGGAGCGAAGGTTCAGGATGGGTTGTGTTTTCTCCCTGGCTGATTTGCCCATGCCATATATTGTAGCTAAAGCTCTTTGATCTCCTTCTGCTTTGTATTTGTTTCAGTTTCCCAAACAATAGCAGGAAGCTTGCCTGTTGCGTGGATTTGGTCCCATACCAAGTTTTTTCCAGCTGGGAAAGCCATTCTGTGAACCATTAGAGGATTTTCCAGCTGTAACTACATGGAGCCTAATTCAAATGTGTCTTCATAATGTAGGTGCACCTTACCTCCCGGAACACTGGGACATTCCTGAATTAAACAGCTGTTCTGCCAGCTGAAAATTGAAAATAGCCTGCATTCTTTGCAGCAATTGCTGTCAATACTACTGAGTCCCCAGCTGAAAAAACACGGGAGGGTTGCACAGTGCCATGTAATCCTCCCGCTCTTGTGAGTAAGATATCCAGGCTTTTCCTGTTACCCAGTTACATACACAAATCAACAGAGATTTGTTGGAACAGATGAGAGAGCTTGGAAAACTAAAGGAATATCCACGCAGGGGATGACTGGCAGTGGTGTCATTGTATTTGACTCACCCATATAACATGATGATATGTAGAGATAGACCATGCAATATAAATGTGTTATTAGTGCCCATCCAAGTAACCAGCACAGGTTATCTAGCAGAGGTGGGATGCTCTGCTTTCTGCTCAATTACCCAACCATAACAATGAATAGAAACCATCCAAGTACACACACAATCAGCAAATGATTTTCTGCATCTCAGTTGAATGGAAATCTTTACACCAATTCTGATTTTTCCACCATGCATCTCCAAACTAGATTGGGTACAACATGGGGTTACCATTCCCCTTGAAGGGAAACACATTGGGGGATTGACGGCAGCATATAGCTCAAAAGGATTTGGAATAAAAATTGGTATATGAGCTGGATTTGAATTGGCCATGGCTAGTTACACGCTGTATGTCTCGGGTGAACTGTCCAGAAGTCTGAAGGTTCCTCTGCCATGCTAGGAAAATGGATCTGTTTTACAGCACTTCAATGTTATCCAATGGCATTCACCCAGCACAGCAGGAAATCTTTACAGGCCAGGTGGAAACTTAAATCGACTGGACAAGAGAAGACACAAATAGCTTGTACTTTTACCAGAACTAGCAGCAAACTGCAATGGCTAGAGATGAGGAGGGAGTTGTCTGGTTCAGAAAAGTACTCTCCTGCCAGAGCAGTCATAGAGAAATATTAATTAAGCCCCCTCACTGCATCCTCTCAATTACAAACCAAAGACTCCCATGAACATCCCAGTCCTGGCAGGTATTACCTGTAGAGTTGTGGACAGGACCTCTTCAGAGCTGCCGATGACAGCCCCAACTTGCTTTGGTTTCTCAGCCTGGTCTTCTTCATGAGATCCTTCATTCTGCCCCAAGCGTGGCTTTCACCCTGGGCAGTACAAACCAAGTCACAACTTAGGCTGATACCGAGAGAAAATTCCCTGTCTAGTGGGAAGTACTAAAGGGTGCTTCCAGGACGACTGATTTATAGGGGAGATTTCTGCTTAAAATACTAACTTAACCAGAACATCAGAGTTATTGTCCCTCTTGGTGCCAATACAGGACTGTTCTTTCTTCAGAAAAATTAGTTATCTAGTTTCAGGTCAAACAAATTGATTATAATAGTCCTTGGGAGATTATTCCACAGACTTTATAGTTAGCAATTTCCCCCCACCCTTGGTATTCAGTCTGCAGTTATGACCATTATGTAGTGTGGCTTGAACATGACATGGAAGCAGAGGTTCCTGTAGCCTCCAATAAATTTCTACTACTGCCATTTTCCCTCAGTTACATTGCTGTGCCCATGATAGAGCTTTCCAAGTTAATGTTTTAGAGAGTGAAAGGTATTTGGTGGTTGGTGGGTGGTGCTGGGGATCTGCCTTAGGGCACATTTCACCTCATTGTTTAACTCTATGAAGGACAAAATTAGTTCAACTGATTTGGTTCCTTGCCCACTTACACCTACCCAGGGAGGCTTTACAAAAAAATCATCCTAAAAATCACAGCCTGACTCCTGTATCATTTACACTAGTGTTGGTTACACTGGTGTAACTCAACTGGTTTCAGTAGAGCTGCTCTTGGTTTATCCTGATGTAAATGAGATGAGAATCAGGCCCAGATTTTTTTCCTTTCATATCAGCAACCAACACCAATTCAAAACGTCATTTCTAAATGCTAATTACAATCTGGTTTTATTTTTAACACATCAAGGCCTCTTGTTAACAGTTTTCTAATGTTCTGTCTGGGGCTGAACTTCTCTTAAGTTCATATGGGGTACTGCTTTTGTTATTCCAGTTTCAAAAGCCTTGATATCCAACACTACCTTGTTATAAAATTCCCAGAGCCATTGCTGGGAAACCTTTGGAACCGAAGAAAAATGTTTCCCATGTTAATTGAAAGGCTCCTGAAGTGGTTTAATATGCTACGTAATTGAGTGAAGAAAGCACTGAATTGCAGCCACCTCTGGAGTGGAATCAGACAACTATTCACCAGCACATCCCAGTGCTGCACAATAAGTTCAGGAGAGGAGACTTTATCACTGTTAATCTTATTCAGGGCCTACTAAGTTTCATACCATCTGTTGTAGGCTCAGATGAAGACTGAAATATTAATTTCACTGATACCAAATTAACTTTCCTTAAGTGAGGCCAGGATAATAGCTAAAATAGAAAATCACCATATTTATTATTATTTATTTATATTGCAGTAGGGTCTGAAGGCCTCAGCTAGGTTGGGGCCCATTGTATCAGGCGCTGTGCAAACATAGAGTATATGACAGCCTCTGCTCAGAAAAGCTTAAACTGTCTACATTAAAGAAAGTCCCAATACAAATTGTTCAATCTCTTTCCTTGTGAAGGATGCGTTGCACAATTGGGTTATCTGTAGTGAAGATGGAGGACAGCTGAGGCAACTCCAGTGAAGAACACTCAGAAGGGGTAACAATCAGCAGATGGGACTGTGGTATTATTGGCTCTATTACTCGGTTGTAAACTTTTGGGGACAAGGATCATCTTTTTTGTTCCGTGTGTGTACGGCACCTAGCACCATGGGCTCCTGGGCCATTACTGAGGCTGGTAGGCACTATGACTGATAACACACATAAATAGTATGTGGAAGGGAAATGCATGTAACGACGTCATTACTTACGGGGATACTCTTACCGAGGTCAGCCCCCTGAAAACAAAGGCAAAAGAAAAATCAGAATTAGCCGGAGCGAGGGCTGATCTTGTGGAAAGGGCACTAATCTGGGCTCAGTTCCCCAGCTCTGCCACACACTCCCTGCTTCACCATGGTCAAGTCAATCCATCTCTCTGTCCTCCATCAGTAAAATGGGGATCATACACCTTCCTTACTCCCACCCTTTGTCTTTCATGTCTATTAGGACTGTAAACTCACGTATACAGCGCCTAGCACATCTTGGTTGGCTCCACCAGGCCCTGCTGACATAACTACACTAATGTAAGTGTATCCTAGCTCGGATTTTTTGCTTTACTTTCACTTAGATTGAGGATGAAGTACTGACTGACTGACAAAGATCAGCATTTACCATCTTCAGTTACATTTAATGCTGCATTTCCTATTCTGATTGCTGGGTATCCCATGGAGACCATAGAAAGGTGAAATGCGATGGTGTGGAAAATGCTGATTGTGTTTTAATGGCATCCACATGTCAATAATAGTAGGATCTCCAAACAGTTCTGTTTCAATAGGCACCTAAATTGTGAGAGCTTGATCCTGCAGCCCACTGAAATCACAAGGGCTACTCATGTGCTTAATGTTAAGGTTGTGCTTAAATGCTTTGCTGGGTCAGGGCCAGAGCGCACAGCAGCTTTCAGGATCAAGCCTTGAATGTGTCTCTGAAGCTCATGCAAACAATCTGAACCACTTAGGTGTGCAACATTGGCTGGAAACTTCCTACAGGCAGACTTTTCTGTAAGATTCCCACTGCTTCCTCTCTCCTGTGAAGCGGTAACACTGTGATTACAGCCTCTCGCCCAGCATCCCAGCACTTCTGATCCCCACTGGAACCTGAAAGTGCAGAGATGGTGTAAACAATGGAAAAGTGCTGGAGAGGAAAAACACCCGCCCAGAGTTTCTTTGGCTTCACAAGGGCTTCACGTCAGCATGGGTTGGGTTTGCATTTGGGCTGGAGGCTTGTTGTTACACCACCACATTCCAAGCCTCACATCAAGTGTATTGATTTCAGGCCTGGCGCTGAGCACCTGGCCACAGCTCTTATTGACTCCCATTTCTCAGCAGATTTTTCTCGGTCCCTAATTTTGTAGTCTCCAAAACCCCACTTTGATCCCCTTGCATTTGGCTGATGGTTGCTTCCCTTGCTGTCTCAGCACTGTCATCACAGCTTTGTCAGTCTCTCTGAGTGTTAGCTTATCAGTCACCTTTTTCGTCGTTGGGTCCTTTAGCAGGAAAGCTTGGCCATCAGTCAGATTATAGGCATCTCTGAGGTCATTCTCCTCATTGCTCCTTTTATGCCAGGTCTTCCTGAGCCCCAGCACCAGCTGTCTATCTCCTGATTCCAGGTGTGTGTCACTTCCTGCAATTCAATGGTCAGATTTATTCGCACAAATGGCCCAGTAGGGTCCCTATGGGCAGTGTTATCAGCAGGCTGTGAACTACTAGCCTTGGAAAGAGAACGCTGGAGACATTCTTTCCCTCTTTAAGTGCCTGAGTTCCTTGTCTTACAAGAAACAAGAAATGTCCAAGCTTTGCTGCTGCAGCTCCCTATGGAACAAGGTACTGTTCTAAGGTAGGATAGATCTGGATAACTCCTCCCCACCCTCAGAGGATTTTGGAATTCACTTGGATATAAAGCATGAAATCCTGGCTCTGTTTAAATCAATGACAAAGCTCCCATTGACTTCAGTGTTCAGAAACCACAAGTGTGTGTGTGGGAGGGAGGGAAATACTGGAGCATTTCAGAACCTTAAAACTGGAGATGGGCTGGACCAAAACCGCAGATAAAACATCCCCTGGATCCACATGTTCTGTCTCGGGCCCATCCTGGCTTCAGAATGTTGAGTTCAAGTTTCGTTCTAGAAATAAGTCAGGGTTTGGGAGATTTCTCAGTTGTTTCCAAACTGATTCAAACCCCTGTGGTGTTAATCTAGACAAGCATCCTTCCAAACCAGGGGAGCAGAGCAGAGCTTGCTTAAAAGGGCTCTCCTCTCTGTCTGAATACATCTGAGAAGGCTCATGTCTGTTGTGTGCAGGGGATGACTGGCAGTGGTGTCATAGTCTGAGAGATGGGCCTGAGCCCAAACTTCACAGTGAAACCAAACAGCCTCAGAATTTGGGTTAGTTCAGATCCTCCTATGGATCCAAACTTCCCTGCTGGCTGTGTTCTTCATAACAGGCTGAGCCCAGTCCCTCCAAACCTGTGGGAAAGTTTGCATTGGAATCCAAATTGCACAGGTAGGGCTTAGCTCTGTCTCAGCTAGCATGTGCTTTGTGCCTGTTTGAGATGGTAGGATGCTCATAACTGGGGCACGGGGCTAAGGCTTCCCACATTAGGTCAAATCACATCTTGTTTTGGGTATCTTAAGGTGCCAGTGAAGAACTAACCTAACACACGGGCTAAGGAATGTTGAGTTCCTTGAAAGGACAGTTTAGTGAGTGCACTTCCCTTACCTTCTCTCACCATGTCTACAGGTTAGCTAACCCATATTAAAATCCTAGTGTAGACAAGGCAATTGTTTTAAAAATGTTAGCTGGTCAAGGTAACATCCTGGGTTACCCCATAGGATTGACCCCAACCAGCTAATATGGAAAAACTACACCGGGCCTTGTGTACACTAGGAGAGTGGTTCCCAAAGTGGGGTCCCCAGCCCCTGGGGATCTGCCAGGGGCTATGGGGTGGGGGGTCTGTCCAGTGATGAGCTGCCAAAATCTTAACAACCGGTTCCCTCCTCACCCTACGAGGGGGTCGTGGCCTGCCCCCAGGGACTCCTGCCCCATCCAACCCCCCGCGTTACTTGATGCCACCCCGCCCCATCCACCCCCCTCCCCTGTCCCCTGACTGCCCCTGGAACCAGGCAGAAGGGTCTCGTGGGCCACTGTAGTGGCCAGAGGGACCTGCTGGGGGGTGAGGTGGGGAGTCCCTGCGGAACTTACCTGAGGCGGCTCCCAGGAAGGATCCAGCAGGTCCTTCAGGCTCCTAGGGGCGGGGTAGCAAAGCTGGGGGGGAGCAGGGGGAGCAACCAACTCCATGGGTGCTCCGGGGCTGGAGCACCCACGGGGAAAATTTGGTGGGTGCACAGCACCCACCGGCAGCTCCCCGCCTGGCCCCAGCTCACCTCACCTCTGCTCCACCTCCGCCTCCTCCCCTGAACGCGCTGCCCCACTCTGCTTCTCCGTCCCCCGCCCTCCCGGCTTCCTGCGAATCAGCTGTTCGCCGGGAAGCCGGGGAGGGCTGAGAAGCAAGCGGCAGCTTCGCGCTCAGGCCCAGGGAGGCGGAGGTGAGCTGGGGCGGGGAGCGGTTCCCCTGCGCACTTCCCCCAACCCCCCCCACCCCCCCGGGTTACCTGCTGCGGCGCGGGCGGCCCTCCTTGCCCCCCCCCCCCCCCCGCCTCCCTGGGCCTGAGCGCAAAACCACTGCTTGCTTCTCAGCCCTCCCAGGCTTCCCGCGCGAACAGCTCATTCGCGGGAAGCCAGGGGGGCAGAGAAGCAGAGCGGGGCAGCGGGTTCAGGGGAGGAGGCGGAGGCGGAGCGGAGGTGAGGTGAGCTGGGGCGGGGCAGGGAGCTGCTGGTGGGTGCTGTTCCCGCGAGGGACAACCGGTTCTAAAAGGGCTTCTAAATTTAACAACTGGTTCCAGTGAACTGGTGTGAACCGGCTCCAGCTTACCACTGGGTCTGTCCCTTGAGCCAGGACCAGAACATGTCAGAACAATGTTCTGGCACTTTTGCCCCATGGAGGCTCCATTTTGTTCTCAAAATGGCATCCTATATGCAGTTTGATTTCACATGTACTAGATGTAAGAGGTCAAGCTGGTAAGGGTATTCCCACATTGGCATGGGCATTTGGGTAGTACCAGAACTTGCCTATTCAAGACTACATGCTCTCTGTGAGGGGTTAGAAGGTGTCAAGACTCACAACACTTCTACAAGATAGGAAAGTAATGCCCCCATTTAGGAAAAAACAGAAGTACAGATAGTGACTAATAGAATAATAGTAACATGAAACTTGTTGGAGTCTGGGCCAATAAGTTAGATGCCAAAGGGGTCCTTGGCAGTAAAAGGTTTGGGAAGCACTGAACTAGGATTTTAATGTGGGATAACACAGGTAAAAATTAAACCATTTTGCCTAGTGAAAATAAAGCCACAGATTCAGGAACCTCTAACTTCTATAAATTTCAGATAATCCCATTTGAGCATGAAGGCAGGATTGAGCCCTTTGGGCCTGATTCTCCATTGTCTTGTGCAGTCATTTACACCTGTGCAAAAGCAGTGCAAAACCCCACTCACCTGATTTAGTAGCATTTTACCCCCACTTGGCACAGGTGTAGATGACAACACAAGTTGCAGGGTGGGAGTGAATCAGGGCCATGAGACATCAACACCAATACCGAAACCCACCTCTTTCTGGGATGATTGAAAGGTCGGACTGGTTTCCACTCTGAATCAAGAGACTGTGCGGTCTGCTCCTCCCAGTAAAAAATTTCTTCACCTCCTGGTACGAGTTGAGCAAGATGCTGGCAGCTCCACAGGAACAGTGCTGCAGAAAATACTCCTACACCAGACGAAGAGAAGGTATGCAGGCTGTTACAAGATAACTGGGGCAGGGAGATATTGCGGACAAATTGTAAGGATTCCAAACTAGAGATGTCCAGGATTATTCCATGTTTTCTCTAGCAGCTGATCCCTAAAGATTCTGAGTGCTTTGGAAATAGTGCTTTGTACTAACGGCCTGACAGGTGTAAGCGTAGATGTTAGCAATTAATATTTTGATCCCTGCATCAGCATCCTGCTGAAAACTTATAGACATTGACTGATAGTCAACATATTTTAACATCTCTTCCAAAAAGAAACTGAATTCACATTTCCATATTCACAGCTGCTCAACCAAGACACTGTGTGTGTAAATAAACACATCCCACTATAAAAGTGACTCACAATTTAAGATAATATTATTTCTGTAGGAAAATGCACAAACAATAGTATCTTGTGTTTTTATAGCCGGGATGCCAGAGTCAGATAAAATGTTGCTAAACAAATATGCTGTAGGTGGTATTCAGTTACTTGCCAAAGCAGTGACATCTTGATTGCTTGTAACTGACTCTGTGAAGAAGTTTCATGTATCAGCGTAAGGCCGTTTTGCACCTAAGTGAACTGTGATTTTAAATTCAATATCGTTTTCTCCATAATTTGTAGATTAATCTTGTCACGTGTGTGGAATGCGGTGGTTGTTTAACAATGCCCAGGAATGCTACACAAGAGTTTAGGACAAGACATGAAGAGTGCTTTATCTATTTGCAACTGCAGGGGAATGTAACTAGGTAGAAATAGATCCTTACTGGTGTTGGCATTTGACCAGGACACCAGGGTAAGCTCCTTTTAAGAACCACAAGCAGTCAAGTTAACCCTAAGTTAACCCTCTCGTCTGAAAGCTGTTTACCCAACAGTATAGTGCTCTATAATGCCTCCAGGCTGGGATGCAGCTTTGCAGAGCAGAGGGAAGAGTGCCACCTTCTTAGACTGGGATTTTTCACTGGGGCTTAAAGGAATCCCTTGCGAGTCAGTGGGAGTTGGGTGCCTAATTCCCTTAGCCCCCTTTGGAAATCCCAGCTCAAACAGCACCCCTGCAGCATCTGCTGTGGATATTCCTTGGACACATCTCCCCCAAGCACTGTTTGTGGCTACTCAGCTGAAGAGATCTGCTAGGATCCTAGGAGAAGGTGGTGCAGGTAGCATTCTGCCGCCCTTTGATACTGCACTGGGAGATACAGCTCTCTTTCTCCAGGAGTCCATGTGTCCTCTAACTGATGTTTTGCTTTTTCATCTCTTGGTACTTTCCAAAGGATTAAAGGACTCTCTGGGTAGGAAGAGCTTAGAAGCCTTATGATAAAAAGGGGGCTTTCCTGTCAGATCTCTTGTGCACTTAGGATCCAATGTTGTGAGCTGCTGAGCACCCTCAACTCCCAGCAGAACCTAATAAATCAGCAGAGTTCTGTTGACTTCAATAGGACATAGATTCCTAAATCACTTGGGTGCTTTTGAAAATGTTACCCTTAGTCTCCCTGGCCCAGATCCTCAAAGAGATGGGAGTTAGGCGTCTAAATACCTTTGAGGAGCTGGTCCTTTTGCAGTTGGGGATAACAGTATTTCCTACATCACAGAAGGGTTGTGAGGATTAATACATTGAGGATGGTGAGATGTTATGGTGTTGGGGAGGTCTCTTAAATACCAAGGGCAGGTAATTAGTTAGTGTTTGTAAAGTGCTTTGAAAATGCAAAGAGCATATTACTACTGTGAACTAGATACCCCAGTGGTGGGTGCATTACATTTGCAGATAGGGAGATTCTGCCAAGGGATCTTTAAAAATACAAAATGCATGTAGGTTAAAAATGTAGGGCCAGATCCTCAGCTGGTATAAATCAGGGTAGCTCCTTTAATGTCAATGGAGAGGCTATGCTGAAGATTTGGCCCTGGTAATGCAGATGGTAAGGGTTGCTGCAAACAATGATTCACAATTGTTAAGCTTTCAGGAAATGTGCTAACCATTCCCAGGCCCTGTGTAGGAGGCAGCATTGCTCTGAGGGAGAGAGCTGGGCACAAGGAGATTACTGGATGTGCCGTTTTGCTGACTCACAATGCCACATTGGCTTTGTTTCTGAAAGGGGGCAAGTCAACTATTCCAGTAGCAGCCCAAGCAGGTGGGTGAGAAGCACAGGGTGTGTGTGTGGGGCGGGGAGAATGTAGTCAAAAGAACAAAGGAATCCTCCTCCTCCCCTGCTCACCCCCACCCCCCAAAAAAACCAAATTGCTGAGCGCTGAGTCTCACAAACCCCTGCTATTGAGTTGATGGTGATAGATTAAAAAAAAAACGTGGAAGGATGATTGTATGGCTAAAGCATGAGACTGGAAGTCAGCGGATCTGGGGTCTGTTCCCAGTTCTGAAGCTACCTTCCTGTGAGACCCTGGACAGGTCATGTCATCTCTGTACCTCAGTTTCCCTCTATTTAAAGTGGGGAAGATAATGCTAGCCTTCCTCACAGGGGAGTTGTGAAGCTTAATTTATTACCATTTGTAAATCACACTGAGATTCTCAGAGAGAAGCACCCAGTGATACAGCTGGTTGTGAAATAATGTTTCAACCCCCACCCCCTGGCCAAACAAACTGATGAAAAAGAACGTTTCATTTTTGTTTGGCAGCCAAACACCAAAAAAATCTTCAGTTTTCAGCAACTAAAAACAAAATGTTTAGGTTTAAAACCAAACATTTGGGAGTAGTAGGAGGGTGTTTTTGGGGTGGGGGCGGGGGTTGGATGACAACCCTAATATTTTTGACAAAAACAGAAATGTTTTCCAATTTCCACTAAGTCAAAAAGCCATACTTGCCACCCAAAAATAAAAGTTTCAACAAAATAATAATAATATTATATAATATTAATAATATTATTATCCTGAAGTAAATAAGGAAAAACCCCGGTAACTGCAGTTGGAATGCGGGGGCTATAAATCCTGCTTTGCGGTTTTGTACCCTCATGCTAGGGCTGAGGTTGGCAGCATTTTCCCATAACCCAGAGAGCACCTAATTACCTGTTCTTACCTCCTTTATCTGGCTCATCTTCCGCTCCTTCTGCAAACCACACACTTGCTTTTGGAGTCGCAGATTGTGTTCCTGCAGCTGCCCGATCTTCTCTATCAGCTGACAGATGTGTTCCAGATACCCAAGGCCAGAGCTGAGAGCCTTGGTGTTCCCTTGGTTCACCTGCAATGACAAAGCCATTCAGAGCACAGACCAACAGTGGCAAAATCATTCCGAGCAGCTATTGCCCTACCTCCCCTGTTACAGTTTCACAGGCCACCAAAAATACACCGGGCGAGCAGTGTGGTTAAAATGAGAACTAGCCCAGGCCTTTATCCCAACCCCAAACCTTATCTTTGAGGTTAGAAAAAGTCTGTTTCGTTCACTTTTTTCAGCCCACGCTGCACCCCCATCTGTCTCCAGTCAGAACCAGCAGTGCTAAAGTTTTCAGTGCAACCTAAGGAGTTCCAGTAAAATGAAATTTCACCTTATGATAGCCCCAAGATGCCCCAATGTCTTATGGCATTGCTGCATGAACTGGAAGAGCAGGGAGAGAGGCTATTTCCAGCCCAACCCTTCAGGCTCAAGATTCAGATGGAGCAGATTCCGGTGGGCAGCCAAACTACTAGGTGCTCATCTCCATATATTTCATTTACACCCACAGCTATCCTTCCAGAGTGGTGTAAAAGTCCCATAGCATAAGTGAGAATCTGGGCCTAGAACGTATGCGGTCACACTCCTGGGTCCAAATTCATCCCTGATGTAGCTCCACTGAAATCAATGGAGCTGCACCCTGGAGGAATTTAGCCCATTGACATCAATGTGAGTTGCATCTGTCTGCATCAGGGCTGATTTTGGGCCCCTCTAAATGTCTGATCATAGAATCATAGAATATTAGGGTTGGAAGAGACCTCAGGAGGTCATCTAGTCCAACCCCCTGCTCAAAGCAGGACCAATCCCAACTAAATCATCCCAGCCAGGGCTTTGTCAAGCCAGGCCTTAAAAACCTCTAAGGATCAAGATTCCACCACCTTCCTAGATAACCCATTCCAGTGCTTCACCACCCTCCGAGTGCAATAGTGTTTCCTAATATCCAACCTAGATCTCCCACACATCAACTTGAGACCATTGCTCCTTGTTCTGTCACCTGCCACCACTGAGAACAGCTGAGCTCCATCCTCTTTGAAACCCCCTTCAGGTAATTGAAGGCTGCTATCAAATCCCCCCTCACTCTTCTCTTCTGCAGACTAAACAAGCCCAGTTCCCTCAGCCTCTGCTCGTAAGGCATGTGCCCCAGCCCCCTGATCATTTTTGTTGCCCTCTGCTGGACTCTCTCCAGTTTGTCCACATTCTTTCTGTAGAGGGGGGCCCAAAACTGGACGCAGTACTCCAGATGTGGCCTTACTAGTGCCGAATAGAGGGGAATAATCACTTCCCTCGATCTGCTGGCAATGCTCCTACTAATGCAGCCCAATATGCCATTAGCCTTCTTGGCAACAAGGACACACTGCTGACTCATATCCAGCTTCTCACCCACTGTAATCCCCAGGTCCTTTTCTGAAGAATTACTGCTTAGCCAGTGCAAGCTACAGTGCTTTGCCACTCTGGGACTAACCTAGTCTGGGGCACAAGATCTCTGCTGCCTTTGCACCTTGCAGAGTCATTTGCAGCTATGCAGAGTGAGTGGAAGACACTACCCCAGTGTAAGTGAATAGGGAAGTCTGATTGGGTGGCATGGCATAGGTGTATGTACACAATGACACAAGGACACAATGTCGAAGGCGACAGAGAACCAGGCTCTAGGTGTGTAACCTATGCCACATCTACATCACTGCTGATTTAGCCTCATGTCACCAGTTAGGCAGTGAACTTCATTCTGGGCCTAACCCAAGCCACTGAAGTCAACGGGAGTCTTTCCATTGGCTCCAGCAGGCTTTGGATCAGGTCCCCTGAGCTCCTTACCCAGGTGGCGATGGGTGTTTGTCTTGAGGAAAGTATGCAGGATTAGGCCCCCTATATGGTTATGGCAAGAATTAGATGAGTCTATTCCACTGTCACAGGGTGACTGGCCCGTTTAATGGGGGTTGGAGGCAGTGCATCTGTGACTAATTACCTGCCACCCAACTGGGCTTAAGGGAAGGCACCTTGGCCTCATGAAGGGAAAGACAGCAGCTGTGGGAGCTGCTGAAGAGGGCTCCTGAAGGAAGCTGCTGGAGGAGTGGCTGAGAGTCCAGAAACACTGGCCCAAAGAGTCCTGTGCAACACCCTGACTGCAAAGAGGAGAGACTACAGTCTGGGAATGGATGCATCTAGGGTACGTTGAGGGATAGAGCCCTGAGATGACTCAAAAGTGTGCCTGGAGGAGAGGCTTGGAGCCAGCCAGACCTCAGGGAGAGGAAGGGGCTGTGCCCAGTGGAAGACTGTGAAAGGAATAGATGGAAGAGACTTTGCTTTGGGTTTACTTTACTTTATATGTTAACAAACCAGTCCCCAAGAAAGAGGTTTGTTATTGTATATAAATCTCTGTGGATTATTTCTGGGACTTTGAAAGAGAAACTGAGGCAATGGGCTGCAGAGCCACATTTGGCCAATAGGGGATCACTGCAGAGGAGGCACACCCTTTGACATACACATAGACTTACATGTTCCATTTCTTAGCATGAGAGTAAATGTTCAGTCTTTGGAAGAAATACTGTATTGTTGTTAGGTTTTGTTTTGCTGTTGTCCTTTGGGAGACACCATGACCAATAGCAAAGGTTTGCCCTCTGCTTTATTCTCTATATTTGGTGGCAATTCTTGGGACAGAGCAACTTGAAGCAAGCGCTGGTGGGTGAGCTGTAACTTCTGGAAGAGGGGATTGCCTGCATGCTGTTTGTGACTGCCTCTATTCCACACTACGTAGCAAAATAGACTCCGACTATAACCTGATTCTGCATTACTGATTTCTCTTCCACTGGGAAGCTGACTTGGAAGGCCCCACAATTCCACTGTCACTCAGCAGAGGGGCCACTCTGGTGCCAGCGTGAGAAGCTGGTGTCAGAAGAAAGGCAACAATTTTGTCCAGTTGCATTTTCTGCATCTGGCTGCCTTGTCTGGCAAACGCATTAGTCTTCTTTATTGTAATAATCTGTTGAACATCCCACTAACAAATACACACAGAAGCTCATTTACACATTGGCTCTGCCTGTCGATGGGCACGTGATATGAGTAAGTAAAATAAACCCAGATTTTTACAAAAGCCTCTGCTCTAAAGTTTATCTTACGTCAGAAAGTTAGTTGCCTCTACAAAAGTGGGAAGCTCACTCTGTGTCCTTTCTCACAGCAGTACACATTTTTGGGGGAAATACAAACCTCGGGTCTCTTCCTGTCTTTCCATTATGTCAAAAAGTTCTTGGTGGGTTCAAAAACTAATCAGCATCAGGATTATTTTTAAATAAACAATGATACAATGTTATTTATAAAATCTGTTCTTATGTTCAAATGGTTTTAGGTCTGAGTCCGTGACGTAAATCCTGTGAAATCGTATTAAATAATGTGACACTGCATAAATCAGGAACATTAGCTCACTTTCCTTATGATTGGTTGCACTCTTTTGTGGGCAGAACTATTAAAAAAGGAGTCAGGATGGATTTTGATCTAATATAGAAAATGTATGTTTAAAACATCAGTGTAGCAGAAGGGAGACAGGGATCCAGGAGCATTCAGAGAACAGAGAATCAATGTGTTCCTTTTAGAAAAAACTCTGTGTTCTATGAACTCTAGCCACAATTTTCAAAAATGACTAGTGATTTTTGGGTGCCCAACTCGAGACACCCAATTTTCAGAAAGTTCTGAGCACTCACCCTCTGAAATCAGTCCCCTTTAAGCTGCCTCAAGATGGGCTCCTCAAAATTGCTGGGCACTAGACCTGTTTGACACTTGAAATTTGTAGTTTGCACAAAATTTTAACATTCTGAAAACAGGTTTTGGTCTGAATCAGGACAAAACCAAATATAACTGAAATTTCCTGCAAATTGGAATTTCTGAAAAACTTCTTTGACTTTCCCCCCATTTTTATATTTATTTCCTACCATATCAGTAGTAGTGCATAATATGTCAGTTGAAATATTCTATTGGGTTTTTTTTGTTTGTAAAATCATTAAGGGAAAAAAAGAGGAAAGAAAACCCTGATGCTCACATACTGTGTGCTTGGGGCAGGAAGGGATCAGGAGTCATCTGGCTTAGATTCTCAGCTGGGGTAAATTGCCCTACCTCCATTGACCTACGGGGGTGTGGCTGGAGCACACTGCACTACAGCTAGTCTCTCCTTTCCTGGGCTTACGGGAAGCTGTGCATTTGTGCTCCTTATGCTATGGGGCAGCCAGGGGCCTACCTGGCCCTCAATGCAAGTCAGACCAACTGTCCCAGGGTGATTGCGCCCCTTTAAGGGAGAGGATCTCAGTCCTTCTGTGAATGAGCAGTTGTGCCCTGGCTAGGCCCAATTAGCAGGCAGGGTAGCACCTCGGCTCAAGAGTAGGTCTGCCAACTTTGGTTGGACGAATTCCTGGAGATTTCATCACATGACATAATCTTTAAGTAAAGATTAATCTTTAATTCCTGATGACTCCAGGACAATCCTGGAGTGTTGGCAACCCTACTCAAGAGATAGATAAAGGATCTTGGGAGCCAAGAAGGAGAAGAGTAGGCCAGGTGAAGGGAGGCCCGGATGATTGTCAGTGCCAGAGGAATGCCCAGGGAAATGGGGAGATATCCCAGGAGGGTTGTGATAATAACAATAAGCACAAGGTGGGTGGACGCTATTTATGTGGATCCTTCCTTTGGCCCATTTGAACTCTAGCAGGGGCTTCTGGGGCTGAGCCCTCCAGGCTGAAGGATGATTGAGACTCATGAAGAACCTGGAGTCACAGAAAGGGGAGGAGCCAGAATCTTTTGAGTTATGGCATTGAACTTTATTTTGTGATCTGAGATCTGCATATTAGTAGGTTTTCTTAGTCTAACGGAGCACTGGTAATGGGGAAGCCAAGGGGTGGGGGGCGCTCTGAGATGGTGACCTTATGGCAGCACCCTTAGGGTGCTAAAACTAACGCTCTGCTGCCTAGGAGCCCTCATTGGCCCTCGGAAGGAGAGAATACCTGCAGTGCAGTGTGCTCTAGCCATGCCCAAGAGGTCCATGGAGTTAGGGT